GCTGTCAGTCCTATCACTTCTGCAGGTGTATACAAAGCAATGCCCAGTTCTGCAATAGCACAATGGTAGGCAAACTTCCTAAGAGGACAAGATAATACATTAAAAAACAAATGAGTAGTTCATTTGTTTTGACAGTCACAGTTTATATTTAATTATTTAGAAAATAGTGCATCATGTAGTAAAACCAGGTACATTAAAACATCACTGCCATATTGGGCCATTAAACTTTAATTTCAATGAGATTTGTGAGTTGCTGTGGATAAATATCTATGATAAGATGCAGAAATTGATGTGCATCTTTTTCCTGTTGCCTGGTATTGTGCTGTTCATATCTATATGGAGGAATTATGCACAGTACCACAAACATTCAATGTTTTTTGAATACAGTTAACATCTGACTTTGCTGGTGATGATTCTTTCCTGCTGAGTGATCAAGTTGAGTGACGTTACCTGAATGGGTAACATATTGAAAGTATTTCTCAGTCCTTTTACTTAATTGAATAGTTATTTTCAGTGATCCTAACTCATTTAGAAGATAATAATTTGTCTTGTACTGTTTAAGGAGAGTACTTCTGGCTTGTAGTGGGTACCTACCAGCTTCTGTCTTTTGAGAGTGTTGTAGAAAAAACCTAAATGAGACCTACATCAACAGAGGGAGAATGGCCAACTGGCAGTTAAAAAACCCTTTAGCTGCCTAATTCCTTTCTTCTACCTCCCACTGTCACTGCAAAAACAAATAAAGAGGGATGTATATGAACTAAGCCTCTGATCCCTAAGCAGAGAGCCTTACCTTGGGACCGCAGTAGTGTTTTCTGACCTCACTCTTCTTTCAGAGGTTCCCATATCACTGCCTGAATACCTCTGCTGTTTGTGTCTAGGTCACAGCTTGATCTATAGAAGGATGCCAGGTTTCTCTTGATTTTCCCTTAACATGTTACAGGCTGGAACAGTGCAGAATTTGCTGCTGAAGCAACTGAGGAACCTTGAAGGTAAGTCAAGGACCTCCAAATAAAGAAGATGAGGGCAGAAACCACTGGGGCATCTACAAACAACAGTGGGAGAATTGGCGAGGAGGAGTACTGGCTGCACTGTGAAGATTTGGGAGAAATTGAAAGGGCAGAGAGAAAAATACTGACAGGATTTTTCAGACTTGCTTAATATATATATATGTGTGGGAGACAGTGTTTAGGGCTGTTTTTAACACTTTTCTGGTGACTCAGAACAGTTTACTACCTGCTTTAAAAGAAAACAAACTTGCCTCTCTACATGTAGGTGGAGGGAGATGCATGTGTTTAAAGGGTCAGTATATGTAAGCTTGGAAAATGGAACATGTGTCGTTTGGGCCATTTAAAGACATGTTCCAGAATAGATAAACACCAATGGTTAAATTACTGTGTGAAATCCAGAGCTAAGGTATTAGAAAGCTAAGAGAAACTTTGGAACATCTACCCCCAAGCCAAGGTAGAATGACTGAGACCTTCTGGTGTGCAGCCCTGTCTAGAAATATCATACCAGCAGCTCTTGTGGCAGAAATATACAGTCCTTATCTTACTTGGGATACAGATTCATTTGAGAATGAAGAGAGGATAAATTAGCCCTGTATTTTGGACTCTTGCCAAAGGGCTGTGCAGCATATGCGATAATAGTTCCTGAGACCTTAAGGTAAGATTTGCTCATTTTATTTATGGAATACCCAGTCTCTATGAAAGTAACTAGTAAGATAGAATCATAGAATCATAGAATTGTTTAAGTTGGAAAAGACCTATAATGTCATCAAGGCCAACAAATACCTGGAAGCAGAAGGTCCAGATGCCTCTACGCAGGTTGTGTGGCTTTGACTCCAGCTGTGTAGTGTTCAGCATTCTTTGTGGAGTCGCTTCTGATAATGCTGATAATGTCTGGTTTGTTAGCCCTACTTTTAAATGAGGGTAGAATATATTTTGATGAGTACTACTGAATCACAATAATCTACATGAAATGGGTTTTATTTCACTAGGTAATGAATAGTTTTACTCTCTCCTTCTACATATTTCAGTACATGAAGGTTCATTCCAACACGTATCCACAGCTCGCCCGAGTTTTCTTAATTGAAGAACACCCCATGCAAAAAGTCATTTAGGACTCTAACAGATGCATTGCTTTATTTAGGCAAAAGCAGTCTTATTATCTGTCATTTTGCAGCTGATGTGAAAGCTCTGAATGGAGCACTGGCATTATCTGTTTGACAATGATTTGATGCAATACTACACTGTGGTATAAATTAGTGTCAAGAAGCAAAATGCTAATGATAGGGGCCTGTCTATGCACTGGTGACTTAAATAGCATGTTTCTTTAAAATTCAGCAGTGACTCACTCTTTTAAATAAAACCCCTCTGAGCTATTTAAATAATGCCATGTAGCTCTAGTGCATATTTCCGTTGATTCTGAATACATCAGTGTTTACTTGAATAACTATCCAAACAAGCTGTTAAGCATTGTCCTGAATAATACTTTGAAACATATTACTTTGTGCAACAAGATTTTTATAAATAAATGTTTAAATATTAAGTAAAATGGTCGGACTTTGTTTGCACATGCTCTACAGTAAGGAGAATTGAAGTTGAAAGTGCTTTTCTGTTCTTTCTTGGAGATGATATCAGACATAGGTGAAGTCTTGAACAGCAATTTAAATTTACTCGGCACATTTCAGGACTCGGTTTTATTTCATGCAACCAAATAGGGCTTGATTAGAGAGAATTTCCCACGATTGATGGAACCAATTTGCTCTTGGATTCCGAGACCCTTCAGGCACACACTGACTGAGCATTGCTAAACTCCCTAGCACCATCACAGTTTAACCAGCTGAGGATTCAGACACATGCATTAGGAGTGTCTTCTTTATTGCAGTTTTACATGTTGATGGACACTGCTAATGACATAGAAGTTTTTCTCCAAGTTTTAAATGAAATGTTCTAGTTCTTTATATCTAGGCAAATACATCAATATATCAGCTTTGTGCTGCCTTTTTTGTTCCTACACACATATCAGGCACACTCAATGTTCTTCAGGATTGAAGACATTTCGAAGACAGTGCTATTGAAAAAGAAGTCATTGCCAATGATGGTCTATTAGATTCTGCTAATAACTCTCTACCGCAGATGTTATCTACACATTGAGGGTTATAAAGAAATAGAAACAGAGTCCTCAAAAAGAAAAAAATACACCTTGTCTTTTAGGATATTTAATAACAAGGTATAGTCCTTACTTTTGAGAACAAATCAAAACTTGGCCTTAATGGATGACAAAAAAATCCTTCCCAAGCTCAAGATGTTCCATCATCTATAACTTCACCTTGTTGAGTGACAACATTGTGAGATGGCAAATGAGCTCTGCTACAAAAGCGAGGGAAAACAATAATGATCTCAAAGATGAAGAATTCCCTCCTACTGAGGATAAATTATGAAGAATGACTCTTTTAGCTGGAACAGAAGTTCTTATAGGGCTTCTAATCTGAACACCTCAGGTCATTCAGGCATACAGACAGATGTTGTAGGAAGGACATTTCAGGTAAACATCACTGAAGCTGATAAAGTATTTATCCTTTTCAAATACCATCCTACTCTGCACCTGGAAAGAAACTGGAAGATACCATCTTTAACTGACCACAGGTATAAAATATCTTGTAATAGACTAGCCATTTCTGTACCAATTCAAAGTCACTGAAAGACAAGCATTAGTAATAATCTGACAGAAACAAATAATCACTTTGACACAATCTGTCCTGTAGGTATTACTAATAAAATCCTCCCTCAAGTTTAAATTGTGGTTTACACAAAAATGGAAGTACAAATTTCCTTTATTCCATGCCAACTCCAGTTGTGAATGATGATGTGTCTGGAAATATGTATATTATCAGTCCTAAAATCCATGTGTGTTTCAATGAGGAAGAAAATGTAGTTACTTGTCAGTTCCAGGCTAGACATATGTAACTGAGGAATGACAAAACTGTTTCTCTGCATTTTCATATAGGCAGAATTCTTTGTTTATACCAGTGGTTAAATAACCCAAGTCAGCCCCATAGCACCCATATCAAAAGTGAAAGGGATCAAAAGATGAAAATGAACCATTGAACTTGGTGCACTTCTATATGTTCTGTCTATGAAGCAGGACAGTATTTCTCCTCCAGAGCTCTCTTTAGTGTTCACTTACTGTAAATTTTATACACTGAACATACAAGTTGTCTTCATGATCACCGAATTCAAATAATTTCTTGGAAAGAAACAAAGAAATATCTCAAAAGGGAGTATCTGTTCAATGGCAGGAAAGGTAGTAAGAGTGAGGACTGTGAGCATTTGAATTTGGTGGAGTTAGGAGGATGAATACAGAAAAGGGTATCAAAAAGGTAAAGAAGAGAAGATAGGTGAGGACAAAAAGAAAGAAAGCAGGAAAAGATAATACAAGCAAGGAAAATCAAGGGAATAGGAGATAAAAGGTATAACAGAAGAGCAATTTGAAACAAACCCTCAGGTGCCTGAGAGTGGCTGCTCACAGTGCCACTTGTGTTTGTTACTCCACCTTGATTATATAGCACTAGCAGCAAACCTGTTCTCTTACTGCTGTGACTAGAGGCAAAATACAGACACTATACAATTCATTTAAGGGAAAGAGATTGTAAATGGGTGCATTCAGGACAAGGAAATGAGGTATAGTTCTTGTGTTTTTTTTTTTTTTTTTTTTTTTTTCATTCCTAAAATCTTGTTTCCCTCCCTACATTAAATGTACAGTTCACACAGCCAGTACTCCCAGCCTTGCAGGTGTTTGCCTGTTGTTCTGTCCCCTGTTTTTGCACAGTGTTTCGACTAAATCAAATCCAAAACCATTACAGATGTGGGAGAGAGGACTCACTCCTCTCCCAGTGCAGAGGCAAAGAGAATTAATATATTTCCCTTTGTCCTTCCACTATTAGTCAGTCTCAGAAGATCATAATTGCTTCCCCACACTCCCACATTAGCAAACTTTACCTAAGGGTTTCACCAGATGATCCCCTTCTTTTCCACAGGTTCACCAGGCTGCTTGAGCGGCTTGCAGCTGAAGATGACTTTCCATCCCCTACGTGCATGCGGACCACAGTCGATGTAGTGAATGCGCTGCGTACATTCCTTTCAGGCTTAGCAAGGATGATATAGACCTTGGGCACAAACATACAACCGAGGGCCACCGTGGCACTCAGACTCACTGAGAAACACATGGTGATTATCTTGTAGTTGCTTCCAAAATATATTGGCACAAAAGCCAGCCAAATGATGCAGGTGGTATACATTGTAAAGGCAATATACTTTGCTTCATTGAAATTAGCTGGGACATTTCTTGTCTTAAATGCATAAAAGGTGCAACTCAAAATTAATAATCCATTATATCCAAGGGGAGTTACAACACCCAAGTTGGTGGTGTTACAAATCAGGTAGACCTCTCGGATGCTTGGGTAATCATGCATTATATCTGGTGGCTCCATTATAAAGAGGGCAACAATTATGCCTAATTGTATACATATCAAGATAAATGCAATAACCAGTTGAGCACAAGCACTCATGAACCTAGGTTTCTTGGTACAAATTTTCTTCTTGCTTCCAGCCAGGATTCTTGCAATGCGGTTGGTTTTAGTTACTAGAGCAGAATAACTCATAGCTGGGGAGAGGCCAATGCCAATTCGCTGAAGATAACAGTAAATCTGTTGAGGTTTTGCGATAAGACAGAAGGTACACAAGTAACCCAAGCAGATGCCAGCTAGAATGATGTAGCAAAGTTCTCTGCTGGATGATTTGACCACTGGAGTATCACGGTACATTATGAATATAGCTGTAACAAACAAGGTGGCCAGAAGACCCAGGCATGCAAAAACAACTGCTGCAATTGGTTCAGGATCACCCCATCTGAGATACTGAACTGGGATGAGGTCACAACCTGCAGAAAAAGAAAAAAAAAAAAGAAGGTTAAACTGAAGTATGTAGGAGTTAGATTCTTTAATTATACAGTCACAGGTTTTCCTGATATTTATTTTCTTTTTGTCTTTCAAGAAGGTGCTATTATAGTAAGTGTAGGCTAAGATTATGTTAATTCAATGGCAAAATAAATACATTTCAGTGACAGCTTATTTCAGTAATATACTTTATCTGGAATATAACATGATGACTGAAAAAATGACCAAACTGATTAAGATTAGTGACTTCCCACAGAGGAATTATCCATTTAAAATCTTTTAAATATAGTAATTTCAGAATCAAGTTACAGTACCTCAGTGAAAAATGCTTCAGAGTTGTCTGCATACTATATGTACTAAGGGACAAGATGTCAATCTTACTAATTGTATTGTACACTATGAAGAATATTTGTACTTGTTTAATGATTATGGAGAGGAATCTTACAGATTCTGTCAAGAAAAAGACAGTGTCTCTTTCTCAGATATGCTACCTTTTTTTCTGACAAAAACTTTCTAGCATCAGAGTTGAAGATAATATCTAATTTGGGATGGCATGCCCTGCTCACTTCTTTATCTGTCATTCATCCTTTTGAGACATCTCATAAATTGAAACCTCATCTAAACTTGTGAAATCAAACTGAATTCAATATATTAGTGTAAAAGCTGAATTAGCAGTGCAACCCATCTAAGGACACTTGGTTTTGCAGTCTATGTATAGGTTTTAATAAGTCATTCTATGTGCACGTCATAGGAAGTCAAAGAATCTTTTAATTCCACAGTGTACAGATCAATGCACAGGAGTAAAAGGTGGCAGAAAACTTGTTGCTGATGTCCCTCCTCCATCCCTCTGGAACACTGTAATAACAAATACCCCCCCACACCTCATTTCTCTTAGATTTATTACTGAGCAGATGTCATATGGTATGGAATATCCCTTTGGTCAGTTTGGGTCAGCTGTCCTGGCTGTGTCCCCTCCCAATATCTTCCCCACTCCCAGCTTACAGTTGAAGGGGGGAATGTTGGAGAGACAGCCTTGATGTTGTGCGAGCACTGCTCAGCAGTAGCCAGAACACTGGTGTGTTATCAACACCTTCCTAGCTACCACTACAAAGTGCAGCACTATGAGGACTGCTATGGGGAAAACTAACTCCATCTCAGTCAGGCCCAACACAATAGAAATAAGAGGGAAGGACCTTGATGCTCTGGAGTGCAACACTGACACACTGGCACTGCCAGACAGGGCAGGAGGGCTGGAAGATGATAGAGTGAAGGAAATCCAACTAAAAGCTTTTATTTCCTCTAAACTTTTATTAATCTTGACCAACCTGGATTTCAAAATCTAAATTACCTCAAAATTTAGAATTATTTCAATCAGGTTGCTGTCTTTTGGGTAGATGAGACAGAAGGATGTCAGCCTGACTCAGGGTGGGTCATGGGAGCACTGGGTGCTCACTTCTGTATTTTCAGCAATGAGGGTAATTAACACTAACTGATGGGCATCTGGATGCTAAGCAATCCCAATCAGTTAGGGAACCTGGGACCTCAGTGACTTGATGAACAGGAGTAAAGGTAGACATCAAGACTATAATTTGGGAATTTCTACCTCTAAGATCTACTCTTTGTACTTTCCTTTTTTTTTTTTTTTTTTTTTTTTTTAAGTGGAGCTTAAAGTTTTTCCAAATCTTCCCCTGACATTCTTAGTAGTAAAAATAATTTCATTAAATAGTATGGGTAGTTATTAGGCTTAGCTCTTATTTTCTCCCAGCATTTCTGTATTATATATCTCTATACTATTTATATTATCAAAAATATAATACTTACAATAAGGTGGTATACTCAATACATTGTGTGGCAAAAGTACAAGCCAGATAATTCTGTATTCTTGCAGAAAAGTCAGAATGATTAAGATCAACAAGTCTTTGACATTAGTGCAGTTAAAGGATACACGAATTTGCAATCACTCTAGTGTAACAGAATTGTGCTCTTTGTTACTAAATACAGATTAATTGGCCATCCATATTTTAACTGCTTTGGTATGCAAATCTTTCTGTTGCAATAATAAAATTATTGTCATGTCTTAATGTAACAAAGACATTTAGATTTTTATTAAATACTCTCATAGCATTAGTTGATGATACCTATTTGACTCTTGTTGGTTTTAAAGGATTTACTTAATCATTGTGAGGGAGACACTGTATTTCATTCTGACTTCATAAAAAAATTAATGTAGCACAGGAATCACATAATTAAAATCAACATTTTATATCAGTGAGAGTGGTGGGAGAAGGGTGAAAACCAGAAAGCATACTCAGGTGTGTGCAGATATCCCCACGTGGGTTCTTTCACAAGAAGTTTTATGAGTAAGTGACCTCTAAATCTATTTCTGATTCTACCAAAATTTAATTAATGTTTTGGGGAAACAAATTGCTATCGGCTTCTAATACTACTATATATTATTGGACAGGAAATTTGAAGAGAAAAGGTCTTTATCTGACAGCTGGCCTTTACACGCAGACAGTGATATAGAGGCTGAATTTTTCTCAGTTTCTAACATCTCAGCAGAGGTGAATCATAACCAAACATTTCTCATTACTTTCAGACTATTTAATGCCTTCCTTGCTTTATTACCCTTTTTACATTCTCTTAGTAAAATACCTGAGAAAAGAGTTGAAACTTGTCCCATTTTTTCCCCCATCACTGGGTATACTTTACAAGGAGAATGACAAACTGTGTAGATTTATTTCTCAATTAAGATTTAAGGACTGGATAGTCTTTATAAAGCAATGATTGGTGAGGTTTTCATATAATAGCTTCGCAGTTAATGGCTTCTGACAATGGCACGTTGCAGAAAGGGACAACTGGATCAAGGAAAAGAAATATGGGGAAACAGCACTGTGAGTGTTCAGGTTAGGTTGATGGCCAGGATTATACCGAGGCAAAAGCTGAAAAATGGTAACCCAAGAACTCATTCCTATCCCCTAAATATGTGTATGCTCCATGGTCATTTGGACAAGAACCTGCCCCACAGCCCACCGCTTACACTTAGTCAACATCTCCAAGCGGCTGTAAAGTCTTGTCTCCTAGCTGGCTCAGAAACTCCAGGTAGAATAGAGCCAGCAGCCTTGTCTTGTGGTCCCTGTAGTGTGCTAAGGCAATCTTTGGCTTGTGGAAAGGCTGTTAGGAGCCAGTCCAATTTGGATCAGGTGTAGAGTTGTTCTACTCTGTGCTCAAGAGTGCACTGCTTCTGGGACTGGAGCCCCAGTAAAATTGTCATAAAACTACTTCTATGTTCTTCTGGCCAGAAATGCAGCCAGTGGGAACAAGGTACTAGATAAGCATGTGAATAGCAAGACAAGCAGATATAAAAAAATCAAAGGTCCCATTTGACACATTAGGGGAAGGAAGGTTTTCTGAAAGGAGCATCAAAAATCACCAGCATATTCCAGATAAGGATGTACATGGATCTTCTGAGGAAAAAAAAAAAAAAAAGACCTGATATTTTGGAAAAACCTCTGGATACTTCAGAGATGGGCTAAATTGTGCCATAAACAAGAAGAGGAAAAGCTCTTGAGGGCTTGACCAGTGCCATAGCTCTATTAGTACCCTGCATTTTCTCTGTAGAGGTAAACTTGTCACTTATTTCTGACCTTTCATATTATGTTAAAATGAATTCATCTGGGAGAAGAGTTCACAGATATGAAGCACTGTATTATAGTCCATATTTGCTGGGGATTTGATCTTGACACTGTTTTAATTTGTTATTATAACATTGACACCCAAGACACCTTACCATGCCTTCAGCATTCATAAAACTGTGTTAGCTTAACACTGAAAATCTCTTTCATGGTAAGCAATAAAAAATAGATAATTAAACTAGTTCCAAAGGTAAATATGACAGACTAAGTCTTGTGAATAGGATGCACTCTGGAAAGTGAAGGGAAATCAGTGAAGTCTCCGAAGTCTAACATCATGAGCTAAAGCTCACTGAGCATGGAGACTAAAATGGGAAGAAAATTACTCCTGGTTTAGTAAATTCTAAATATTTTTCAGTGGTATTTGGCATCCTGAGCAGTGAGTTCAACCTATTGACAAAAGACTTGATTTTCTTGGTAACTTTTCACAGGCCCTTCCAAGGATAGAAGAAGTCCTGACACCAAGGCTGAAACCTAAACAACCACCTAGTCACATTTTAGTTGTGAATGAGTTTCCACATAGGATTTGGAACACATTATTCAAAGTGTATTGATGTTATGATGTTAGATATTTTGTATTAATGCTTCTGAATGTTTCCCTATATATAATACCAGAAGATGGGAGAAGGGATAAAGGGATATGTTGATTAGTTATTTGGGTTTTCACATATGGATAGCTAAGATGCAAAAATGTAGGAGTCACAATAAAAATCTACATGAAGCTGGAAAGGTAGGTTTTTGGTTTTGGTTTTGTTGTTGTTGTTGTTGTTGTTTGGTTGGTTGGTTGGTTTTTTGTTTGCTTTTTAATAAAGCCCCAGCTTGTTACCCAAACTGATAAGGCAAAAGTGAGGATTACACTCTCCATAGTCCTGGGTGAGAAATTAACACCCTGACCTCCACATGGAATGTGGATCAACTGAAGTGATACAACATCTTTAATATTTCAGTACTAAGTTCTGGTGTTATAATAAGCTATTATCGTAACTAGTTCTTTGCCTTGTTCTGGTGAGACCTTTTGTAGTTGCCACAATAGTAAGGGACGTGGAGATGACCATGTGCTGATTCTTAGCTTCTGCAGTTCCCAGGCTGGCACATTTACTGAAACCATCAGCAAAGGCAGGTTTGCATAGTCAATGAATGCAGCTGAGGACTGTGCACCTATTTATTCTCCCACCTCTGCAGGACAGGAGTTGGGATTGGTCACATCTTAAACCATGAAATCTGAGGCATCTGTAGCTCAGGGGCCTAAGCCACTAGTAACTCAAATACACTTATTTAGCTGTGCATTGCAG